ATGCCTTAAAATACATATTGCATGAGACCAAGCACGTGGTTTCCAGTTGTGCTGCTTTTCTCTTTTCCTCTGGCACAAAACCTTGGTGCATAAGAACACACAATTTCACAGTTTAGCACCAGAAAATGAGCCACAAAACTAGTAAATATCCCCCTAAATTGACAAAACTGTGTCATGTCTGTGTTCAGATTTGTTACTGCCTCCATGAGCTGCGTTGCAGCTGCTGTTGGAGAACGGCTGCCAAACTACAAGAACTAATCTCCTGTTATTGTTAGAGGACACCTGCACACATCTGTTGCTCTCACCTCTCACTGTGCCTTTGCCTCACATCTCCTCACACTCTGAGAACCTCTGTAGTGCGATCTGGGTTTTCAAACATCTCACGTCTCATTGTTCGTCTCTCTCAGATTCACTGACCCGGCCTCACCGCACCGTGTTCACTCGAGCAATCGAGGCCTGTGATCTGCACTGGCAGGACCCCCACCTACAGCACATCATCACCGAGGACCACTACACCAACTACTGTTACCATGATAACCTCGACAGTTCCCTCTTTGACACCCGAGGGTGGCCCCTGTGGCACGGTGAGGGAGCAGGGACACGTGGTTTAGAAGCCGACCAATTAAATTCATAAGAAAAATCAGAGGAAGGAATTGAAATGTCTTTGTTGTTTCGTCTCCTGCAGAGCACGTCCCTACAGCGTGTGCTCGAGTAGACGCCCTCAGGTCACACGGTTACCCCAAGGAAGCACTCAGGCTGGCCATCGCCATAGTCAACACGCTGAGGAGGCAGCAGCAGAAACAGCTGGAGTTCTTCCGCACACACAAAAAAGGTCAGTTCCTCCTCCATCAGTCACTCAGTGTCGGCTTTTATATTAAAGTCAGTTTGATGGAAGGAGGAGCCTCCTCTGATGCTCTCACTGAGGTTTCTGCTGTTTGTGGGGGAGTTTTCTGTCTCCTGATTTGATGATCGATGGTTGTAAATGATGCCATTTTTTTGTTATGTACTTGGGCTGAAAACATTTTAAGGATTATTAAGAATGAAAAGCATGAATCTTTTTTTGTGCAAAACTTTTAATACCCTTAAAATTCGGCACTAAAGTATAAGGGTCAACCACAGCACAATGTGAGTTTTTGCCTCCTTGCTTTTGTTCCCATCTGCCTATAAATAATTAATCAAGTACGAGAAGCCAACAATCACATTTTATGGTTTCATAACATTGAGCATATCACATATTCATGATTAAATATTTAATATAGGTTTTTTGGAGCTCTGTGGAAGCCTTCTGTCAATCAAAACACAACCCACCTATCAGAGACATGTCTCCAGGCCATAGAACGTAAACTCAGAGTTTATCGTTTTAGCCTAAAAAGTTATTAAATACAACTAAATCCTCTTCAGAAGTTGGTTGTTTTTAGAGTAAGATGAAGAAGAATAGTAAATATTTCCTCGTGTGCTGACTGCTGCAAAAAAATAAATGGTAATAAAAGGCAGCGTGTCTTTGTGAAGCCCCTTAGGGGTCATATGGCCATTTTTGGTCTCCATAGTTGTTTTGCATCTCTTTGTGGTAACTGTCTAGTTCCGTTTGTGGTTGTTATGAGTCTATTGGTAGTATTTTAACTGAGTTCTTTGATTTCACTTCACTTTTTCAGGCCCAGGCTCCCCTGACCTCTTGGGACCCTGGGCCTGTGCCCTATAGGCCCGTTCAGCAGTCAGCTGTGCCTGTTATGCTGGACTTTTATAGTTAATCGGATTCTGTAGCAACTAAAAGTTATTAAATACATGTAGTGCAGTAGAAAGTAAAACAAATAATTGTTGCCTCTGAAATGTAGTGACAGTATGAAGTAGTGGAATATGGAAATACTCAAAGTACAAAAACCTTAAAACTGTTCTTAAGTAAATGTACTCTGTTAATTTCCACGGCTGCAGTCAAAAAAACAATAAGCAAAAGCTTTTTCAGTTGTTGTGGCACTTTCAGTCTCGTCTCCTTACACTCGATGTTTCACAGCCGGGAGAATGAACGGTTCACTGACTCTGTGTGTGTGTGTGTGTGCATGTGTGTGTGTGTGTGTGTTTTACTGCAGAGCTGCTCCATAAAGGCATTACATCAGTCACCAACCTGGAGGGCTGGGTGGGTCACCCTCTGGACCCCATCGGCACACTGTTCGGAACGCTGATGGAGACGGGGCGGGGCAGTGAGGACGGAGCCACGGCCCTGCTCGACTTCTCAGGTACACACAGATGCACAAACGGAACTTGAGAAGTACTCAGATCCCCTTTAATTAGCCAGGACAGGTTTATTTGTACAGCACATTTCACACACTGAAGAAATTCAAGGTGCAGAACATGATAAGAAAATAAATTTAATCATTGTACTAATGAAAAGAACAAACCTTTTTGAAGGAGCTTAAAAGTTAAGAACAGAGACACCCACTGCCAGTTACTTACATGTTTTTAGTTTTGACAGTTTACTTTTTAGCTTTGTACCATTTTAAGTTTATTTACTGGACCTGAACCAGTTACACGTCAATAAAAACTGGAGAATGGAGATGATCTAAAACATTGGACTGGTGCTGTAAACACAGGATGACTCACAATGAGCTTTTCAGCTTCAGTCAAAGTGAGAAAAACGTTTTTGGCACTGAAGTAAAAGTACCAATACAAGAATGTAGAAAAACTCCATTACAAGAGAGGGCAGAACACAGAGAGGTTGGGTCAAGCTTTATCAAATGTCGTTCATTTTATAAGCTTTTAATAGGATGGATTAAACTGTCAGATAAATGCAGCACAGTGAAAAGTACAAGCTGAAATATCTTAACCCTGAAACATGACAAGGAGCCACAACTAAACACTGATTTGTTGCACCAGGTTGGGAACAGGTCATCAAAGCCTTGTATTGGGAACATCTTAATTCAAACAGTAATTGTATTTGTCAGTTGTGGTGCAGCAGAACATGTAGTTTTCCTCTGAGCTGTAGTGGAGCAGAAGTTTAAAGTAGCAGAAAAAGGAAATACTGATGTAGAACACCTCCACTTGAGTAGTTACCACCACAGCTTCAGCACACACACACATTTTTCTGCCTCAGACCTTCACGCTGCAGCGACAGCGTCTTCCTGTCAGGCCCTCAGGTTGCAATCAACAGCGTTGACAGACATGATGATTGGCCTCTAGTCATCCTCCAATAACAGCTCATGAATAAGAAATGCAGCAAGAAAAGCACTCCAATTAAAATTCATCAATTATGCAGGGAGCTCAGACGGATTTCAACGCACTGTAGCAAGAACGGACGATTTGCTCCCAGTTAGTTTGTTTCTCTTGTAAAGTAGGTGAACCACAACATATTGAAGCCTCTGCATGGAGAGGGTTTCAATTAAGACTCTGCTATTTATATCTGAGTCTGTGTGTGTGTTCATCAGGGACCGTTAACCCTCTTGGGAAGAACTGTGAAGTCTGCCAAGACATCATTAAGCCATTACAACACATGATTACCACACTCTGAAAAAGGAACACCAGAATGAACAAATAGTTCAATACATTTATCAATACTCAGCCCACAGGAGCATTTCCCCACCCAAGTCAGCTCTGGGTAGGGATTGGGTCAGTAGCATTTTATCGAATCTAAATCCTTTCTAATCTGTTTTCGAATCTTTTTAAGTAGTTTGGTGTGGAATGAAGATGTCTGTTCACACAAGATGTCAGTAACACAACTCATGTCACATATTGCATTTAACAAAACCTGTCCCTTGATATTTAAGTATCTAGCTTCTCCTAATCACATTATTAGTAATTTTAATTATGATTTAAGAACAAATTAGCAGGCAGATCTGATGCTATCACAAACAGAAGCTATAGTAATGAACATCACATCAAATCCGTGGACATTCTGTGTTGAAGGGTCCAATATGTAGCAGCATCTTGCACTAAAATATTAGCTATTTATTTAACTGATATTCACTGAACAATAAAGTAGAGTTAATGTTATTTCCACTGTTGTTTTAACAGCTGAAGCACAGCCCCCCAAGTGAGGAACAGGGTGAGTGAGGACAGGGTTAATTAAAGCTGCTCTGCCTCGTTTCTTTTCACCCCAGAGGGTCCAGTGAGACTCGGAGCAAACTGACACCATCAGCTGCTCCTACCCGCTTTTGGCCCCTCCCATCACATCCTGTTTCCTGAAGCTACTATGTAAACTACAGAAGCCTGGTTGGGACAAGCTAGCGTTAGCTGGCTATCGGTTAATGTGTCAGTCCAGTAGACCACCCTGGTTACTGCTGATGTGACACAAAGCTCCAGTTCCTCCCAAATTAAAATCATATTAATTCAACACAAAGGTAAAATCCTGACCATGCTAGGTGGCTAATGCTACCAAAACAAACAGGGTAGCTTTAGATACTAACACGTCCAGAAGGAAGAAGGCCACATCTGGATCCAGTCTGAGTCCTCTGGCTGCTTTTAATCCTCTCCATGTCAAACAGCCAAACCCATGTTAACCCTGGTTGTTGCTCTTTCTTGTTCTCTCACCCTGTCTTCCCCATCTCTGCTTCACCCATCAGGCTCGTTGGCCTCAGGCAAGAGGACGGAACATGTGGTTTTCCCAGTGCAGCATTTCCTGGAGGATGGAGAGTCGTTCTTGTCGCTGGCTGTAGAGACAGCTCTGATTGGTTTAGGGCAGCAGAGGATGATGCCAGATGGCCTCTATGCCCAGGAAAAGGTGTGTCGCAACGAAGAACAGGTACTGGCCAAGCTTCAAGAAGTCGAGTTAGACGACTCTTTGGTGAAGATCTTCCGGAAACAAGCGGTTTTCCTGCTAGAGGGTGAGTTGGACTCAGACATCATGAAACATTTGCTGGGTTGATGTTTTTAAATGCTGCATTAGTTTTGTGCTTATATGCTTTTTTGGCAACAGAATCTTCAGCTAGCTAGGTTATCTTAGCTTAGCATAAAGGCTCAAAACAGTCATCCTACATCTGTCTGAAACATTGATACAGATTAAACAAGATACAATGTGTTAACTGGGGGCTGCACATACTGTGGTGTGGAGGGGAGCTGGGTATTTATTTAAAGTGGGGCCCTCGGTACTGTTGCAGGATTTACCTTAGACCTTCATTTTGACTTGGAGAAGAAGTGAACACCACATAATACCTCCAAGTACTATGTGTATGCTAAACATAAAAATGAATATTCTAGATGTGTTCCTGTTTTTAATCAAAGAACTTTTCACAAAAGTTGTTGGTAGCTGGATTTTCTTTCCCTTTGAGAGTCAGGACAGCGGTTTCCACTCTCTCTGCTAAGTTAACTAGCTGCTGGCTCTAGCTTCAGATTTACTGTACAGCAAAGAGGACGTTAGTCTTCTCACTCACATCTTCCACACACAGGAAGATTCCTGTTTCACACCCTGAACCACAACCAGCTCATTGTACGTTAAGTGTCTGTTTTGTTCTGAGTGTGTGGTGTTGTTTTATTAACTCTGTGTACTTAAGAGAGTGTTCTGTGCCACTTGTGTGCATTTACACTTTGAATGTTTGTACTTGTGTATTCACAACTGTGTGAATGTACTGTCAGGCTGTTTGCTGATGTGTGAATGCATGTGTGCGCACTGAGGGGTATAACAAGCCTGTGTTCACAGCCTGATGGGTCCTCTTCCTCTGGGCCAAAGAGCTCCATTGTTGTCGACAAACTATTAAACCATCACCACATTTGCTGGTGCAAATATTCAATAGAGCATCAGATGTGCACTTTTCTGCAGCTGAAGATTGTTGACAAATGCTGGTTCCTCCAGTTTGAGTAATGCTGTCTAAAAACTAGTTTCCAGCTGTTTTAGAAAGTGACTACCCCATTTAACAACATGAAACTTTCTATTTGTGACCCATTATTAAGGATTTACATCTAAACGTAGCCACGGAGCAGTTGTGCAACTACTCAGATCTTTACTTTAGTAATACCACAGTGTAATAATGCTGTCAGAACTTCTGCATTTAAAAGTGTTACCCCAGTACAAAAATATTAAATTCAAAACAGACTTAAATTACCAAAAGTAAAAGTACTTTTTATTTGTTATAAAGAGAAACAACAATGGAAGCTAATGGAAGTAACTTGCACACTGTACAGAAAAATAAAGGGTGGATCCATCTTAATTCCTAGAAGCCATCAACCTTTGCACTACATCAGAGTTCACATGATGCTTCTGCTCTAGTGCCAAGACAGTTTTGGTGAACAAACAAAGTGATCCTCATTCTGATGCACAGCCAAGTCCTGACGTTCAGGTCAGCACTGTTGACCTTGAGGGCATATCAGGCTGGGAAATCATAAACAAGGACACAGTCCAGCTGATGTGTTGTTGCACTGCTCTGTCTCCAGGTGGACTGCACACACTGACCTGATCTTTGTATCTTCCTTGCAGCTGGTCCTTACAGTGGTCTGGGAGAGTTACTCTACAGGGAAAGTGTCCCCATGCACACTTTTGCCAAGTATCTCTTCACCTCCCTGCTACCTCACGACACCGAACTGGCGTACAAAATTGCACTGAGGGCCATGAGGTGAGTAGATCTCCTTTAAAGCTCTTGTCTGCCCATGAACAACTAAGACGAGGGGTACATCTCACTTCCCTTAACTGCATCCACTTTTCCCTCACTAGTCCCACTCCTGTAAGATGTGAGGAAAAGATGCAAGGAGAGAGGAACCGAGGCGACATATTCATGGAGGCACGAGACCTTCATCTGAATTCAACCGTCAGTCCATAAAAGTCTTCAGTGAGGGATGGTCTCTTGTATCCTTGCTTGTGTCTCCTCCGGGGAGCCTCCTCATTCTTCCAAACACCAATAAAGAAATCTGAACATCTTCATGATGGTCAACTAGAATGACTTCCAGGTAAAGTGAGGATCCAGGAACAATTGGTAAAGAGAATTTTCGATCCTCGCTCGAACCAGAAGTCGTTCTGGTCTGCCATCTTGAAGGACATCCTAAAGCTCTTATTCCTGCTCTGAGGAGTGAGGAGGCTGCTGGAGGAGTCATGAGAGCATCCTTCACTCGACTTTTATGGACGACACGCCCCTTTATTGGAAATCAGTTGGTGAGCGGACGCTTCAGGTGAAGGATCTGAGGAAAGGTCATCATATGTCTCAAACACTTAAATTCCTCACGTTTTCTCCTCGCTTTTTACATGGGTGGACTAAGACGCAAGGGAAAAAATGCAAGTGAGGAATATGTGGATCGATGTCTGCGACTGCCAAGTGTAACACACTAGTGTTTCCAGGTTGCTTTAGAAGAGACCTCAGGCCTTTAATATTGAGTATCTGCCAAAAAACATATTTACTTACTGACTGTAACATGGCGGTTCTTCCTTCACAAATGATCTTGGTCAGAGTACACACAGCAGCTTGTACAGACACGTTTAGTTTTGGGCTGTTAAGTCACCCACAGAATTAATATTAATTATCAACAGCTGATGTGACCCGCTTGTTATTTTAACCAGTGATGTAGTAGTTGGCACTAAATAGGAAAAGCTTCTATCTGAGTATTTTGTTCGCTGCTGTTGACGAAGCCTCATCCATCTGGATGACATTATGGTTGACTTGTACACAGTAGCTAGGTTTCAGTTTAAACAGGTGGTGGAGCTAATTGTCAGAAGAGATGTTTGCATACAGCTTCATGTGGGTGTAATTATAGTGACAAGAGGAGGAACAGAGATAGAGAAAGCTTTGTCTACTTTGAGAGGAAACCAGGAGCTATCTGGGGCTCTGTTTAATGACAAAACCTTTTTGCTGGAATATTCACTCAATAATTCAACACTGCTGAAAACGAGTTTCACAAAATGTGTGAATAATGAATACATGCTGTTGGTTTCCTCCCTGACCGCCACGGGTGTTAGCAAAACTATTTCCTCGTGCCCAAATTAAGCCACAGATTTTTATGATTTTACATCTTTATTCTTTCAAGACTTGAATCACAGAGGAGGAGTATTAAACTCTTGGTTTCACAGCAGCTGTAACAATGCGTGTTTGAGGGGGAAAGGAATTGAGCCGTTATTTTTAAACCCATCTTTATTCTGAGTTCATGGCCTGAGGCACAAAGGAAAACTATTGACTGATGATATAAAAAAGCTCTAACAACGTCTTCACCTCCGTGAAACCTTTCTCTGAGTGCACAGATCAGCTCCTGTTTTCTTGTCTGTCCATGTTAATAAAGTTCATTTCTGTGATCAGGCTGCCCGTCCTCGAGTCCACGGCCGCCTCCGGCGACTTGTCACGGCCTCAACATTTGGTGTCTCTGGTGCCCAACCGTTTCCCTCGCTGGTTCACCCTGAGCCACATCGAGACCCAGCAGTGTGAACTGGCGTCCACCATGCTCACCGCTGCTAAAGGTACAGACACAGGAGGGAGACAGTGGCAGAGTGGGTGTTTGTGCAGTTTAATGAGAATCGTTCCTCGGTTTAACAACATCCTTCTCAGCTTATGACATTTCTCCTTTTACTACACACTGAATTATTTAGTTTACAGCAGTGGAAAGTAACTTTGTACATTTAATCAAATACTACACTAGTGTTAAAGAAACGTACCTGGATATTTTCCATTATCTGCTACTTTACTGTGTCAGAAGTTAATATTGTACTTTTTACTCCACCAAATTTACCTGACAGCTGAAGGTGCTGTTACTTTTCAGAATAAGATTTTAAAAACAAAATAGGTGATTAGGTTATAAAACACAATTAGTGGTAAAAGAATTCAGTACCAATTACAGTGTAAAAACACTTCATTACAAGCCAACTCCTGCAAATTAATGCCTATTTCCATCCATGGTTAAACAAATATTAGGAGCTGGCTCATCAAGACTGTTAGTAAACCATTTCAGAAATTGGATGAAGTCTTGTGGAAGGCATGATGGAAATCTGGCGTTTGTTTCATTATTAATTTAAGGGACGTTGGTGTCCTCGTTGCTTCACTGGAAGCTTCAGCAGACGTTTATGCTGCATGTACATCAGCATTTATTCAGTTTCCTTTGCAAAGTTTGGTTTCTATTAATGTACCAACTTTTCCACTGTAGCCAAATTTCACTGGTTTTATTTTAAGATTCCAACTAATCATGTTATAATGAGAGAAGTACAGCATTTTAATAAGATTTCTTAAGTTTCTGTGATGATGTTAGATGAAGAAAAGCTTCTTATTGAAACTGAACAATTTGCTGTCACAGTGGCATGAAAAATATCTCAAAATATAATGAATAATAAAAGCACTTTTCCATGAAAGCAGTGATACACTAGCAGCTAAAGTCAGGATGGCAAACACCAGGCCATCCTGGTGTAAACAATCCTGTTCTGTGAAAATAAATATTTGACAGAGCTACACTGGAAGAAGGAAATGACTTTACCTCTCAGTCCCCGTTTGTTTGTTTGCAGGCGATGCACGAAAGCTAGAAACGGTGTTAGAGTCCATCCAGAAGAATATCCACTCCTCATCCCACATCTTCAAACTGGCCCAGGATGCCTTCAAAATCGCCACTCTCATGGACAGTCTGCCGGACATCACGCTGCTCAAGGTCTCCCTGGAGCTGGGCCTTCAGGTAAACAACAACAACAACAACACACACGCTTCACATCATGCAGGAGCGAAGCTGATGATATGTTTGTTACAGGTGATGAGAATGACCCTGTCCACCTTGAACTGGAGGAGAAGGGAGATGGTGCGATGGCTCGTCACTTGTGCTACTGAAGTTGGTGAGTTTTTTCTTTTTTTCAGCGCTAACGTAGCAGATTAACTTTAAAATCTCAAAAGCAAAGAGGTCATTTAAAGATACACTTGATGGCTTCATGCAGTTTACTATGCAAAAAGACTAAGGCTACGTATGTCCCAGGCAAAACGTTAGCATCCTCACCAGTTAATATACAGAAGACAAATGATCAGCACTGCAGCGTAGAGCTAGTTAGTACAGTGCTATAATGTAATGTGGTTAAATGTTACCTGGTTTAAACACACCTGGACAGGCAACACAGTTCAATTTGAAGCATAAATCTTTAAATATCTTTTTTTTTTTTTTTTTAATACTCAAACAGAAAACTGTCGGTTTGTTAGGGACTATTTCTGGCAGTAAACCAAGATGGTTCTGAACCCCAGTGTTGAACGGCCAAGCTGGGCAAAGGTTTTAAATACCGTAGTATCAACCAGCTCTGATGTTATCAGTTCAGCTTTCAGTACCGCAGAAATGAAGAATATTTCTCATTAGTTAATGCTGCACAAAAATAATCTTGCATGTTAGCTCATCGCCTGAGTTTTAGATTAGGACATTTATCTATGATGCATTTTGCCGATTCCCAACTGATCTCTACTGAAACCTGTAGCCCATCACATACAGGCAGAGAAACGTAGTACATGGAGTTTTACCAACGTTAGATTATATGAACGTTAAAAATATCAGCGAGCCAGCTGATTGTTACGGGTGCATTCATAAATTCAGTCTGAAATGGTCAGAGCATCGTCCCTCGTCTGTGGGTGACAGTTTTGGTTCAGAGCGCTCAGAGAAGGGGCGGAGCTAGTGAGCTAGAGGCTGCAGGCAAAGTACCCCACAGTAAAAATACTGTCCTCCATCCACATTTTTTAATATTTCAGTCATCAGTCTAGTGATTTGTTCAAAACAAGGCTGACATTATGACCAAATCCAGATATTAGATGCAGATTTCAGAGGCATGGCAGCTGGAGGAATGGGTGGCAGCATAGTCATTATGGAAGGTTGTGGTCTGGTGGCCGATTAAGTGGGCCTTGTGTTTGGACATGAATACTGAAACCCGGCGTCTGATTTAGCTGAAGTGGACAGGAAGCTGGGTGAAGAGGGGAAACCCTCCTCCCACATGATTTGTTGTGAATGCAGGGGAGTGACAAGGAGTCCCTGTAAGTACAGTCTGAATGGATGCATTGAGAATGTGCCAGCTGGTGATGTATAGTAGGGCAATATAATGTCAGAGTTAGAAATAGAGCATCCAATTAGAAGCTACTGTTGGTGCATTTTGTATGTTGGAATTCTGGACATGCACTCACCGGCCACTTTATTAGGTACAACTGTACGCACCTCCATGCAACACTTCTGCCTTAACATCTGTGCTTAGGAAGTTTCAGTTTTTTGTAACATGATAGTCAGAGGTGCTTCTATATTTTGTCCTCCCTGGGTACAGATCTGAATATCATCGTCCAGTACAACACCACCTTTAACTATGACCTCAGTAACAGAATTTATACACTGATGATAATTTCACCAAAAACAAACATTCTGAGCTTCATGAACTGTTAAGGTTGGAAGTGTTGCACTGAGGAGCATACAATTGTACAGGTGTACCTAATAAAGTGCCTGGTGAGTTTGAGTATAAAATATGGCCAAAAATACTTGAGTGCGGCAGCTGGAGACGTTCTCTTAAATCAGTGTGCTGTTTGGGAGTTTACATCAGCAAGTCAAGTGGCGGTTAAAGTGGAAACAGGTTGTTACAATAACATCATGGTGGTTGGTGGGTTTTAATGTCATCGGGGTCTAAAAGGAGCATTTTCATTTCACCAGCGTTATTTTTAAAAGTCTAGACTGTAGGGTTGTAAGAGCAATACAGTACCTACTCTACTCGTATTAAATTCCATGAGAGTAACTTTAGCTTTCGCAGCCTGTTTGTGGCTGCAAATCTCTACAGAAGACTCACAAATATGTCATTTGATTTTTAAGGTTAAATAATTTCCTAAAACATCTTAGTTTTTAACAAATAATATGATAGTGTCAGTTTGGTAGGGACTACTTTTCAACTGTATTTTGAGAAAGCAAGCCAAGAAAATGCAAATTCTGTTATGTGAATTTTTAGTTTAGTTAGCATTAGTTGGTTTGTGAATATAAACGAACTGGAGATGCTAATTTTCCCAGTCGGTGCCATTCAGCTGCTCCAGAAGACAATATGAAGACAGAATTAAAAGTGCACCAGTTAAATCTTAAATACTGAAAATGTATAAAACATGATTAGAATGTTTAGGTTTGTTTAACATTTGCTAACGAACTTTTTCCTTCCTGTGTAGGTGTGTTCGCACTGGACAGCATCATGCAGAGCTGGTTCACCCTCTTCACCCCCACCGAAGCCACAAGCATCGTGGCTAGCACAGTCATGTCCAACAGCACCATAGTCCGTCTGCATTTGGACTGCCATCAGCAGGAGAACCTGGCCAACTCTGCCCACACCCTGGCCCTGCAGTGTGCCATGAAGGACCCCCAGAACTGTGCCCTCTCTGCTCTGACGCTCTGTGAGAAGGACCACATTGCCTTTGAGACAGCCTATCAGATAGTACTGGACGCAGCCGCTACAGGAATGAACTACACACAGCTGTTTACCATAGCACACTACATGGAGCACCGGGGTTATCCAATGAGGGCATACAAACTGGCAACGTTAGCCATGACTCACTTGAATCTCAGCTACAACCAAGACACACACCCGGCCATCAACGACGTGCTCTGGGCGTGCGCACTCAGCCACTCGCTGGGGAAAAACGAACTGGCAGCAGTCATCCCCCTGGTGGTGAAGAGCGTGAAGTGTGCCACGGTCTTGTCGGACATTTTGCGACGATGCACCTTGTCAACGCCGGGCATGGTGGCGCTACACAGTCGCAGGAACTCTGGGAAGCTGATGTCTCTGGACAAGGCTCCGCTCAGGCAGCTACTGGATGCCACGATCGGGGCCTACATCAACACGGCGCACTCTCGGCTGACGCACATCAGTCCACGCCACTACAGTGAGTTCATCGAGTTCCTCGCCAAAGCCAGAGAGACGTTTCTTCTGGCGCACGACGGACATATCCAGTTCACACAGTTCATAGACAACCTGAAACAGATATACAAGGGCAAGAAGAAACTCATGATGTTCGTTCGAGAGAAATTTGGTTGAAAGGGGATTAATTAAAAGACCAAATCGCCATTTTTATACTTGAGTTTCCTTTGTTATCCTTCCTAACTTGAAGTGAAAATTTAGATCTGATGGGTCTAATGTGATGAACGGAGAGGGGTGTAATTACAGGCAAGGACATTTTAAAAAGCAGCACTGATGAGAAAAGTAAATCTTCCACACTGACTGAGCCCCAAACGCTATTCACATAATAAAACATCTCAAACAAATCCTCACTCTCCACTCACTTTGTTGGAGGAATCTGACAATTCAGCCTTTTTACAAAAAACTAAAAAAAAAAAAATGCCTGAAAGCAGCTGTGTGGTAAGATGAGGTACCAACAAAGCTAAGAAACACCTGAAACCGTATGAGGATGGAAATGAGCCATCAGCAGTTACAATGGGGAAACAGGGATCCTCCTACTTGCTGTGTCTGGAGCAGCAGTAGCTTGCTAACACAGCATGAGTGTTACAATTTATTTATTTCCAAAAATAGAGGTAGATCTCAGAGGGAAGCTGGGCTGCACCTGATATTTAACATAGCAGTGGGACAAGTTAGCTGCGTATGCAAGCAGATCCCTGCCATAAATTTAGAGGGCGCTCTAACCACATTGCAACTCAGCATTTGAGAGCACGCAGATTTCTCCACTGGGGTTTGTGTGAAAGTCTTCCGGCGGCAAAAGTTTTGAAAGCGTACAAAAGTAGTTGTGAGCAGTCTTAAGTTTGCAAATCAGACTTAAGAGCGAGGGCAGATCCTCGCTGCTCCCTCAAATCATCCGTTAGGCTCACGACTCGGTCCTCCTTCAAGCCTCAAGTCTTTCTGCTCTTACAAACCTGTGCCTGTGGGCTCTCAAAGTCTGATTTACAAACTTAAAACTGCTCCCAACTTCTTTTGTACATTTTCAAAACCTTTGCCGCGGACAGGTGTTCACAGAAACCCCAATAGAGAAATCTCAGAGCTCACATGGCCTGGATTACGCTCTCAAATCTGCATTTGCACTTGCACAGTATCAAATGCAGAGTTGCAAACTGAGTAGCGTCCAAAGTGTGGTTAGAGCACCCTCAAACGCTATGGTGGGGATCTACTTCCATAGCTGTGTATTAACAAGCTCCTGTAGCTAGCTAAGGCACTTACAAACATGTTACTGCATAACTTTCTGGTTTATATGTTTTACAAGCTACATACTGTCAAAATGCTTTAGCATAAATTACAGAAATCCAGTTCCCTAAACTGACACTTGATATTTGACAACAGTGACAAAATGCTTGTTGTACACTAAGGCATATCGAGCATCAGGATCTCCCACTTTCCCTGTTCTTCATGCTAATGGCTCATTTTTGTCGTCTTAATTTTTTTTGGTTCAGCTTTTTAAAAGTCACTCTGGGTTCTTTGGGTAGTGCATCCTGTCACACAGCTGCTTTTAGGCATTTTTCAGGTTTTTGTAAAAAGACCAAACTAAGAGGTGCATTCAGGCAAGTCAGTGAAGCCTAATCCCTGAGGTGGGCGGGGCCTAAGCGCAGACTAGCTATATCTTAAATAAATGTAAATTTGAATTTACAAAAAGATTTTTCCTTTTTTGTTGACTCAGGCTTTGGTGTTTTGAGTCTGAATTAGAATTGAAACCTTCGGCGTGCTGGCTTTACTTTTCTGATAATTAGACTCATTCCTCTTCAGTGCGAGCTGTGCCAAGGGTCATGAGACAGAGCCTCGATTGACTTTAGTGCTGGAATAGGAAGGAGATGTTTGGGGGCGAGTTTTCCTCTTTAAAAGGACAAGTTTGTAATCGAAGAGGAAAAAAAAAACGACTGTCAATCACAAAAGCAACACCTGGTGTCAATGTGTATAAAACCATGGCGTTTGCAGAAAGACAAACTATCAACTTGTTTCCCTTTATTTGTGTGAATGCGAGAGAGCACACCGAGTATCTACTGTACTGTCCACCTTGCACTCCTACTTCCCTCAGCCCCTCAAAGACAAGACAAACGCCTTTAAACCAAATGGAGCACCTCCATCTAAAGTGACGAGTACCTCTTAAAGATCCAGCTTTACTCTACTCCTCCGTCCTTCACCATCTCCTCAGCAGAGAGAAAGGAGAAAAACTCAGTCCACGATGAGAATCATTTACAGGGTCGATGTTTGTTTCTTCTGCCTTCAGGCTGTTTGTGTTGGCTTCACAGTGTTGTCTCAGACATTCCCTACGCTTAACTTGCAGTTTATCACTGAAACAACAACAACAACTCACTCGTAGCATGGGAAACTTGGCAACTGTCAAACATTCTCAGGGATTTCTCTTTAAGAAAGCATTTTAATGTCTTGTATATATGGAAGTATATGTCTGACTATTGAAAGAATGTATATGGTAACTAATTTATGGCAGAATATTCTATGTAAGGCACAATACTTGAAGCTACAGTACTTCTGGTTTTTGAAACAAGAAAGAAAATCATCAGAAGGACTTTGAAACATTCGCCTTGCATTGTATCAGGAGCCAGGTCAGTAGTACATACTGGCTGGTTTGGCTCTGCACACGCGTAACACACTGCAGGAACTGGGAGGAGACGTGCACCGGGGATCATAGACATCACAGACGTTCAGCCACCACCTGCCGCCCCCACGTCTCCGGCTACAGCAACTCGGTCACAAAGCTGTTTCATGTCATGTGCTGACGCCTCCTCTTCTCACATCTCGACTTTGTGCAGGACAGAAAGTTGGGCGGCATTTTATTTTATAAGCCTTGTATTTCCTGGAAACATTTCTCAATTTCCTCAACAGTTGTCTAGTATTTAGCTGTGGATCATAACAACATTTCCAAGAAAGTCCTCTGCGGTTTGGTACAAATTATAAGGGAAAAGGAGAAAATGTTAGTGGATAATGTCAAAGTTCTGTATATTCCACTGTATTTCCAGCTATTCTCTAAAGAATTTCCTGGAAATAATCATCATTTGGAACAAATTCCAGGTGAAGTAAAGCGTGATCAGCTGGTACAACCCTGACACAGCAGGTGGCCTGCCTACAGTTTCCAACAACAAAGGGGTGATGCATATTTCCTGCCACACTGTGAACACACACTTGGTAATTAAAACACCCTCTGATATCAGATTAAACATGTATTTCCTATTTCTACAGAATGAGGCTGTGAAATAAAGTGATTCAATGTGACATTTTTCACCTAATCAAGACCTTTTGCCTTAAAGTCTTTCTAGGAAACTACGATGGATATTCTCTCTTTATCAACTATTTTGTTTCACTGCTACACAATTTACTTGTTTTTACAAATAAAAACCAGTAAATTTAGTGACTGGGTGCTTTCCAACTGCAGCAACACTTTCTCTGTTTCCCTTACAATTACAAGTATCCAGTAAGTTACAGCTAAACACCAGCAGGAAACGTCAGGAACGTTTCCAGGCTTGAAAACACAGGACCTGTAAAATAAAGCAGAGCTTAAAGCTGCTCTATGCCGAAGGTCTTGACTGTTCCACTTTGTGGAGTTAATTCCTCGTAGGGATCCTCTCTCTCGCCTCGTCTTAATGCTTTAACTTAACCACTTTTAACTACCAAACTTCGTCAAACACCTTTCAGCCTCTTCGTGTCTTTTCATTTGTAGCTGAACCGGCTCATTTCCTCTGGTTCTCAGTGTCGTCTCTTAGAGGGCTGCTGGCTCCTTTATTTATTACGTGAGGTGAGTGACTGTACGACCACGTCGACACGCTCATGGAGCTGAAACAGATTTGATACACTGAGCGATTTATTTATGTAACTAAATCACTGTTTTATAAACTTGTTAATGAATCAACATTTTGTTTGGATTAAATTAGTTTTTGAGAGGATCACGTCTACGCGTTCTTCATTCTTTATGCTCCCACTCTCTGGGGTTATACTTTAGTTTGTGTTGAAATACACTGCCTGACTTACAACTGTACAGCTCAGATTATTAGATGGCTGACAGAAAAATAATGTGTTTAATTTGATTTTTAAAGACATTTCTGATTTCAGCTTTTCAAACACAAGGTACCACGTACCACACAGCTGTGTTATGTCTACCACACAACAACCTTAATGACTGTCGATAAAATTCTAACTTAGCTGCCTTGATAAAATTTATAACGGGGTACAAAGACTGCCGACCACATGAAGCAGGACAAAGCACCTCGGTGAAGATTACTAGACTGCACCAGTAATCAGTCATGCTCGGGCCCGTCCTTGGAATACATAATGTAATGATTATCTGGTCCAGGATGCAAATGAAGGCACAGTGGGGCGACTGCAGGGAGAACAGTCCACCTGTGCCACAACACAAGCAGCCCCTCGCTGCAGGTCTGCCATCAGATTACAGCCTGCAGCAGCTTCACAGCCAAGAGGAATGCAAAGTGGAACGGCTGCGTGTGAAAGGCCTTTACATGATTTAGCTTCTTTATGAGATTAAGTGCAGTTCGTGTTCGTGGACTGAATCTGAACCGTGAGAGAGCCGAGATTTCTAACCCACGATGGTACTCCATGCACCACGACTGTCACGGCCGCTTGGCTAATTAGACGGGGAGTGATGCTGTGATGCAAAGTCCTCATAATCTAGAGCACCAATATCTACATTACAAAACCTCATCTCAGGCAGATGTATTCATGTCTTCTACAACGACTGCTGCTGCAGTGCCGTCCTCACTGGTCTAAGAGAAAAGATGCCCTGAGAGAGAAAAACAAACAAAACAGAGCCACTTGGAGCCTTTGGGGAACATTTTTACCAAATAGGTCTTTTTTTTAACCAAACATTTCATTCCAGCTTTATTCTTTAAAACAAACTGGATCCTCTAGATGTGGTATTCAAGCTGTTATAATGAAATATGAACCTGATGTGAAGAATCTGGACAAAACCAGGAGTGAAGACCAAGAAAGGTGTCAAAATCTGATTAGATGTTTCTCCAAGTTTCTTCTCAAGAGAGCGGAGGAAACCCAGCAGGGACCTGGCTCAGCATCTGGCAGCCTCATCTGGATACGAGGTTGTTCTCTCCACAGTCCGAAGCAGCTCAATCAGGAACAGCAGCCAAGAGACCCCTTTGTCAGAAGGGGACAGGGAGAAAAAAAGGCTGAGATATGGAAACGGAGCGAAGATCAGTGGGAAAGAGGATTATGGCGCGATGGATGGAAGTCACAAATGTTGGGGTCTGGTCGTCGACAGCACATGAGAAGAAGAGTTGGAGAGGTGAAGAACGAGTGTAGCAGCCTTCAGCGACACTCAGCGGAGGGAGGCTCTGTCATGGTCTTCAAGACCGTCTCACCCAGAAGACTTCAAGCTGTGCAGAGAGGTCACAGTGAACGTTGACTTTGGACTGAAGAAGCCGTTTGGTTCTGAAAATGCTGTGTTTTGTTTTTATATTGTGTATATATTCCCCATATTTTGTGGTTATGTCCTAATAAAGGGACCAAGAAATAAATATAAATTATCATTACAACCTAATGGTGGCCGAAGACGTTTGCGCAGTACTGTATATTTCCATGGCTTTTTTTTTTGTTTTGACTTTAATGTGAGGCACGTTGCTCATGTGACCAGCGTTTGGAGGTCGTCTCATGAGATATCCTTTGCCCCCAGTGACGCCAGACACAAATCTGACCACATGAAGAACTAAAGAAAAATAATTCAACTGCAACAAAAATCCACGTTGTTAAATACACTGTCAACC